TTTCTCTTTCGTTAATAACTTGGCCAAACCGAAACCGATCGACGCAATTTTTGGACTGTGGCAAGATGTTATGATCAGTGCTGCGATTTGTCATTTTCATTGAGAAAACTTCAGTGGATATAGACAAAATTCATTTCAGCAGCAACACTGATAGAACTGAAAATCAAAATTTCCTTTGTCAAAATCTCACTCTTTTCTTTGTCAGTGACAAAGATTCCCTTGGTAAAAAAAACTGTGAATTTGCGCATTCTGTGTCACATTATTGTTCTCCAGGCTGATAATGATGATGATTCGTATTCACTTTGATGGTTCTATGTAACTGTTTTGCTAAATTAATTTGATTTCGATAGTAATTCAGCAAATGAAAAAACTGCACATCGTCGTCACTGATAGTAATATCCAGTGTTGTGAAAATATCAAAAGATCTAATCTCACCAATGTGCATAATCTCATTTGAGTATCGTAGACCAAAAACTCAACACGCAAACAACAGCAGATGATATTACAAGCTGTGATACGGTTGCTATGATACCATGCTAACAAAACTCCCCGGCTACAATTCTCACTGTTACTGTGTTGAGTTTGAGCTTCAAGATTTTTGCTGTACATCCGAACACGAAACGAAACATCCATCACTGCTGGCAGCAGTAACTTCGTGTCTGCCATCTGTGAAGAGTAAAGAAAGATAGCAAACTATGCTTTCTCTTTCTAAGAAAACGATGTGCAAAGGAATCATTTTTGTGGTAAGTCAACTCGTGGCTACAATTTTACATGTTCTGAATAGTCTCGCAATATCAAAGGAGCTTGTAAAAACAATATCATGCTTGATATTTTATTCCAATGTCATGCGTGATATTGGGAGCCCTTGAGAGCGAAACAAAATCATTTGAGTGAGGATTATGCCATCACTGGTAATATCACTGACAATTGATATTGATTGCTACTGATGGTGACTCTCTGCTGAAATGAGTGACCAGGGTTGTTTTGTTATTATCAGTTTTTAGTGTCGAAATTTTGCAGCACTGGTTATGATCCTTTTCCGTCAGTAAAAAAATCACGACGATCGGCTTCGATTTGGTCCAGTTATTAACAAAAGAAAAAATCGATGAAGACAAATCGATCAATGCAGTTATGTCGTTATGATACTCAAGGCGAGAAATAAATCATTAAAGCTAGTCGAAAGGATTATTTTTTTACTATGTTTCCATTATTTTTACTGAACACATATCAACATCGTTAACTAAGTTGAACTACATTTTTTATACTGCAGGGATGAATATACTACAAAATAAAACATAATTTTCTTTGACTAATTGTCATAATAAAATTTATTTAATAACTGTCTCTTAAAACTAAATTAAATTCACAAGCAATTCTACTCATTTTCTACATTTTCATCAAGACCAAAATCATCATCCATTAATGCATCTAGTGCATTGCCTTCAGTGTTTATATTTTCAGAGCTGACAAGATCTTCGAATACTAAAAGTGATTTCACAACATCTGGATATTCAAGTGATACCTGCTTTCGGATTCTATTACCTAGATTTATTGAACTTATCAAAGGATCAGATGAGTTCATAGCTCGAATAAAGACGTCATGTAGATTATCAACTCGTGACCTTTTCCTAGCATGATGGGTACGACATTTTTTTAGTAGTTTATGTTGGCACTCTGCTGCTTCCTCAGCTAACATGCCAAGAGGAGCAGGTGAATGGATTATTATGCTTCCAGCGTGAGCGAGTACTTTATGCACTGTTGCTGGAATTTTATACCAATCATACAAATTAAGATACCGCTGATATGTTTCCTTACAATAGTCATCAATTTTTTTAGGATTGATCGGGTCTTAGCAATTGATTACTATTAAAATATTACGAAATCTAATAATAAGCTCTTCGTCGATATCCAAAAAGTTTGGAAAGTAATTCAGGAGTTGAAAATACTTTTCGACACACATTTCCTGTTGTACTGGTCCCAGCTCCGCCTGCCCTGGGTTGATCAACTCGTACTCCGAACGCTTCGTACATTTTTGAGTAACGAGTTTTTTCCGTTCAAGATATTTGGCCTTTAAATCCTTCGTGATCTTCCACGTTTTAATTTCCATCCTATAGGAAATATGCAATAAACACTCAAAAAATCGCATCCAAGCATGCAGTGGAGATATGCCGTAATGCAGAGCATCTTCGTTCGAATCGTATCCTGCTTCAAACTTCTGTAAAGTATAAAAAAAAACATTCTTATTTTTATGGCCCTTAAAATTTGAAAAAAAAAAATATTACCTCTATATCACTCATTGCATTTGGAGTAGCTCCACAAATTGGACAGTTGGACATGGAAGAAGTATCAGTTACATGATTAAGAACTTTGCCGTCGATCATACTCATAACGAAAATAAAATCAACCAAAACATATTCACCATTCGATAATTGGATTTTTACTGGAACAAGCTGACTTATTTGATTTTCAATAAATCTCTTGGTGTTAAGCACCATCTCTTTTGACTCTTTGATAAATTCCAGCATAATTGGCCTACAGAACCGAATGCTTTGGGGTGTTAAATTATGCCACAAAATGTTTTTCTTGTTGTTCTTATAATAAAGTTGTATAGGAGTAGTTGTCACTGAAAAGACGTCACTGTCATCTTTTTGATTTGGCGTTGATAGCGCTTGGTTGTATTGTGAATAGCCTGTTGAGCCATACATACCCCAGCTGCTTAAAAGCACTACCCAAGTAACCATAGGCACGTTATTTCGCCTTTTTGGCTATATACGGACCTCATCAGAACTTGCAAACACTGGTATAGCCGTTGTTCAGCTGTATATAGCCAAAAAGGCGAAATAACGTGCCTATGGTTACTTGGGTAGCTCTGTGTCATAGTTGATATTCATTTGTTGGACGATTTCCGCATCGATGATTTGAATGATTCTTTCTGTTGTATGATTCATGAGTGCCTGTAATTTGACCTGAAAAAAAAGAAACATTTAAAGTTGGTGTACTGGAAAAATATGTGGATATTTATGTCTACCTGAATTTTTGATGATGACTCTTCGATTGACTCGGCTGAAGGTGAGCATACTTTTTTCATACTCTTAATTACATTGTAGCTCGGAAATCTTGATGGGTTCTTTTTCACTGTTTGCTCATATGCATATTTAGAAAAATCGCAGTCTAAAAAATATTCGAACGCCTCTTCAGGTGACATCATTCCATGCGAATCTTTGAGAGTCGTAAATATTTTAAATGCACTTTCTCGATTTTTGAGAACATGGCCAATCAAATTCACCATATTTGAATCCCCATGTCTATACGCAATTTGTCTTGTGAGTAAAAGAGCTCTTTCTATAGTGCCAACATTACCGCCAAATATTTCATCGGTTTTCCTTCGCTTACTTCTATCACTAAGCTCATCAAACTGTTTTTGTGGACGTCCGCGTCCATCATGGCCAGTTGACGTTGAAGGTGTTTCTGCGATGTACTCTGCAAGTTCCAAATGACTATCGAGCCAATCCTTATTGTATTTCTCAAAGCGCTCTTGTAGGCGGTGAGCCTTTTGCCACGCATTGTAAAAATGTTGTGCTACGTACTTCAACTTTTTAAGAAGTTGTTCTTGTTTGGCAAGATCAATATTATTTTTTTTTCTTGATATATTCAAATGCTTTTGTTGCATTGACTACTTGAGATTCTTTTGGATCAAAAAGTAACACGATGCTCCTATGATCCATATTATCACAAACAATTGTTTTCAGATTTTCGATTAAACTACTGCACAATATTGTTGGTAGCACACACACGTTGTTAGCGTTAAAGCCGAAAACAAACTCATGATTTGAAAATATGGTCCTCGTCTTTTAAATGCAAGTAGGTAACATCAATAATAGTTTTACCTAAGTTTAGTGGGTAGAAATTGTAAAATGGCACTCGAACAGGTAATTTCCTTTTGGTAGTGGTCTTTCTTTTTCCGTTGGTTATTATGTATTGAAAATATCAAAAGGGTATCGTGAAAACATTGAAAACTTTTTAGTCCAGTTGGGTAGATACGGTTTCTATATGTAATGATAATTTTCGGTCTGTTTTTACCCATTTTTAACAACAATAATAATTAAGTGTGTAACATTTTTAAGACCAAATTTGACATTTAACAGTTCCACTTTTCAACCAGTGTTTAATTTGTACGATTTTTTTGGTTAATGCTCGTATAATCGATATATGTAATTAACAAAAAAAAAACATTTAAAAAATCATTTTTACGACTTTGTGCCAAAATGACGCTCATACGCAGCTATACGCAGCTGGATCCTTGTTTTGCAGATAGTATAGACCCTAAACTAAAACGTAGTGGTGGTCTCTTGAGACTGCTCGGCCCTGCTCGTTAGATATAGTCCAACTTAGGCAAAAAAACATTTTTTTTTTCAATAACTGCCCATTTTTAACCAATTTTAATTAACCGTGTATCCTTATCAACATACCCATTTTCAAGTTTAGACAATTAGCTTTCCAACGGTGTATTAAATTCAATGTTTAGACCGTTATTCGCTGAGAAAATTGCATTTGTTTCAAATGCATTTTTTCTACAATTTTCAAAATTTTCCTAAGTCTGATGTCTGTGGCGCAATGAGTTTTCATCACAGAGGGCTGAAATTTTGGGCATCTAGGTTTTAACTATTTGGCTATCAAATGGTTTACAAGATACGTCATTCAAAGCAAGTCAATTTTTCGATTTTTGGCCACCACTTTCCCCATAGTGCACCGGCGCCGTTAAGTATGATTTATGATACAAAAATTTCCCTATTTCTAAAACCTGTACTTAATCTTAAAATTCAACATTATATCAGCTCTGTAATTATAAAATTATTAAATAAACAAATAATAAATAATAATAAAAAACATATACACACACACACATGAACGATGTTTTCTGATAAAATAGTGAAATAATTTAACTGTCGAGGCATAAACCAAAGCATTAACATATAGGTTTTATGGATTATCTTTTACAGTTGTTCCCATGATTTGGATACAGGACCAGCTGGTGGGAGCAGCACTAGGCCAGCGTCTAACTCTCGAATGCAACTCTGAAGCCTTCCCTAGATCAATCAATTACTGGATGAAGAACGAAACAATCATAACTCAAGGTAAGCCAATGGGATTAATCCTTTGCCGAACATGAGCTCATACATAACCATCATCCACGCATCGGTGCAAAAGTCACGCAGGCCTCAGCGCCAATTTCAATAGAGCGTGGAATCGGATCTCGTCTATTGAGGGTTAGGGAACCTGAATTCCAAAGCATGACCATTTCGGTTCCTTTTTCACTGTCCTGAACTCGCAGCATGAACAACATCCATCATTAATATTTTCCCGCTCGCTGCCCACTCGAGATTGGCTTCACTTCCCCCCATTGACGTCTGAGGGAGCATGAAACGCTAGAATTACTTTCTGCCGGTACCTACATAACACAATACGTATGACTGAAGGGGGAGCAAAATAGCAAATTGGCGACTAAGCGTAACGAAACAAAGTCAAACGGATGAAAATAATAAGCATGGAAAAAATCTGATAACAAGAAAAATTGTGACAAAATCATCATCTTGTTATTCAATCAAAGTGAAGAAAGGCAGTGGACGTGTTCGGGGAAACAGAACAGGATATTTTGCACAGGGTTTTTTTTTTTCTTGTCGTGTTTTGGGGCGGTTTGGTGAAACATTTTCGTCCTTTTGATTCAATCTCTCTTGCTCGGTGACAGGGTTATAACGAGGCCAAATTACGACAGATTCATTATTATGCTTTCTTCTACCAGAACAAAGAAGTGGCTTGTTGACACACAAAATGGAGAATCATGAGCTCTGGTTGACATATTACGGTGTTTCTGGACAGGACAATGGAGCACTATCTTCACTTTTCATCAGCCGCAACATTACCTTGGATTGACATTATCTCTGAGTTACTCAGCTGAAAAGAATATCAGAAAACGCATGAATGGCTATCCGGCGATGTACTGTTCCATTCAAAGGTGTTTATTTAGTTGAGGAAGGTTGCTTTGATAAGAATTATACAACGTAGGGGGAAATATTGTGGTTTAGCCAGTAAAAGGGAAACTAAGACATTTTATTTATTTTTAAAAAACATTCTTCATACAATTTGTGTACGCTAATCCATACATCTATTGTGATATGACATTGTGATTTAATTGGTTTAACTAGTTAATTTTTAATTGTTTTAATTTTTAATTATTTTTTTTTAAACTAGTCCTCTATGAATCTGTTCCAGTAGTTCTGCTAGTTTCTAACATTCGTTTCCATAACTGTCGCATATAAAATTGACATTTTATGCTAAGAAGTTGACTCCCACTACTGCACATTTCAGTCTTCTCTCTCATACTTGAACTCTTCATAACTCGATGAAAATTCAAGATACTTCAACCACTTTTCCCATATAATCTTCCAAAATCCCGGAGTGATTCGAGATACGGACAACTCAATCAAGTCAATCGCCGGTTTCTTACTAATTAAAGCTCAATAGCAAAAACAAATATCATAATCAGGTAGAGTAATGATTCCTCTATAATTTGGTATAGTTTGTTAACGAGATTGAGCTTTTATTCGCTATAAATCGACGATTTACACAAGCAATTACGCCCAACTCTCAAATCGTCCGGAATTACCTCCACAACACGATATTCTCGCTAACTGGATGATTCCTTCAATATCAAGTACGGAAGAGTTGTGCAACATTTGAGCTCAATGCTTGTGGCTATGGTCCAACTCAATTCTTTTGTATGAAACATATTGAAAAAGGAATGGTAGAAAATGTGATAAATTTCATATAATAATTGTCTAAGAGTTCATGATTAGAGAAGCTCAAAATTACAGTTGTGTTCAATATAATAGCAGCCCATGCCGATTTCCATACAAAATGGTCAACTTTGACATGATGTAACTTTGTTAACTTATCATCAATTGAGCTGAAACGTTCGTCACAGAACTACAAATATGTTCAATTTTTCGATTACAAAATACCAAATTTTTGGAAGCACCTGTTGGAAGTGAGACACTTGGTAAAATTGTAACCATTATGTATCATAGACGACGGCAGACCAGCTTCATGACGTTGTTCGTTGACAAACTTCCAAAACTGCTTGGGACGTGCATTGCTTTATTAACGAGATTTTTAGCACAATGCACAGTGGGCCTGGAAATATATCTAGCAGAAAAAGATAATAACGCTCTGAGATTGCATCAAATTAAGTCGACGTTTTCAGAGAAATTTCTTGGATTAATTAGGCCAACTAAGATGGCGATTTCGATTGGGAAAACTATGCAGTACCATATTGTTCAAGACCGAAAATTTATTGGTCTTCTGTGGAAAAAGTTATCAACCATTTACTTTTGGCCCACTGCACCACGCATACCTACATACTTGTGTATGATTTAAAGGAATGCGCGGTGCACTTGGCCTGAAGGTAAAAGAAAATAACATATAGCGCAAATTAATGTCTAATCGATTTGCGATCTTCGATAAATTTGTTCTGCATAGTTTATCCAATCTTAAGCGAAATTTTCTAATTTTTGAATTTTTTTTTACAAGCATGCAGATTGAAAGAATTATTCAAACTTGACTCGCCTTTCTGTACGTAACAGAATAATATGAGCTGCGATTGGTTAAATAAAATATAATGTTTGTTTCAATATTTTATTTTTAAAGAAAAAAAAATGGAAATACTGTCAAATACCCTTCATTATGGGTATTTCCGGAATCCGGGAGATGTGTAGAGACCAGAAATCAATGTCTGACGTCATTTTGAAATCCAAGATGGCGGCCTCCTGTTAAAGAAAAAAACTGGGAAATAATGTCAAATATCCTTCAAATGTATGTCTGACGCCATTTTGAAGCCGGAAGCCGCCATATTGGATTTCAAGAAGGCGCCTGACATTGATATCTGGCCTATATACGTTATCCCGATTCCGAAAATACCCATATTGAAGGGTATTTGCTAGTATTTCTCAGTTTTCCTTTAACCGGAAGCCGCCATCTTGGATTTCAAAATGGCATCTGACATTGATTTACGGTCTTAATACGTCATCCCGATTCCAAAACTACCCATATTGAAGGGTATTTGCTAGTATTTCCCAGTTTTCCTACAACCGGAAGCCGCCATATTGGATTTCAAGATGGTATCGGTTATCGATTTCCAGACTATAGGCGTCACCTGGAATCCAAAAATACCCATATCTAAGGGTATTTGTCAGACTTCAAAATGATTTCCAGTTCCTTCGCTACCAATATTGTCTATCAAAATATTTGACAATTGAATTAACAACTGTCGCTTGGTACAAACGTTTTACTCGCCTTTTTGGGAGCACTGCTATTTAATTCTTGCCAATGTTTTGAACCAAGAACGGTATACCCGGTTTTGGTTACATATAATTGAACCATGCACACGGTTCAGATTTCGTGAACCAAAACCAAAATTCTAACACACCGGTTTTCGGTTTTCAAGCTGCGGTTCTGAACATCAACTCGAAAGCCGGCAGTCGGTTTTGATTTAGAACACACTGGTGCACGAAAACTCAACCGAACCAGGGTACACGCTTACATAAACACAGGAGTATTTTGTTGAACACGAACTAGCGCACCGGTTAGCACCGGTTGGTTCAGTAGCCCATCACTGCCGCTCTCATACGCTCTCAATATCACGCGTGATATTGTAGCAAAAAATCATGATATTGATTTTACAAGAGCGGCGCCGGTGGTGTGCGTGATTACCTCTCACCCCAGCAGGCCTGGGGTCAATCCCAGTCGGTGCCGCCGGTATGTTTTGAGTCTCACGTCTTCCTTCGGAAGAGGTACAGCCGTTGGTCCCCGGTTCATGAGTTGATGGGTCGATAGGTAGGGTCCAGGTGTGGGAGCTGTGCCTCCCTGGCGTCGGTAGCATTGGTATTCAGCACGGAAAACAAAACAATAAAAAAAAAAATTGATTTTACAAGCTCCTGTGATATTGCGAGAGTATTCACAACGTGTAAAGTTGAAGCTGAATGTTGAACCGACGTAGAAATGATTCCGTTGCACCTCGTTTTTTAGAAAGAATACCATCTCTTTTTTCTCTTCACCGATGGCAGACACGAAGCGACTGTTGCCAGCCGTAATGGAAGCTTAGGTTGCGTTCGGGTGTAAAGCCAAAACCATGAAACTCAATCTTACGAAAGTTCGGTGAGATTTGCAGCTGGTGAGTTTTGTTAGCCTAATATTCCGAGCTGCGATATCACAGCTTGCAATATCAGCCGCAGTCGTTTGCTTGTTGATTTTTGTCTACGAAAATCAACCGTGATCTTGTTCTATGGTGAGACTTGATTTTATGATATTTTCCCAACACTGGCTGGAACATTGAAAATCATTGATTTAGGGAAGATATCGAGTAATGGAGAGTTGACTGTATGTTAACACACACTAAACCGGGAAATTCAAGATTCTATTAAAGATTTGCATTAAATGTATACATAATTTGCAATGTTTCACTACTTGAACAAAATATGTAATGTAGTCGTCGGAAAGCTGCTTTATGTTCGCTAAATGTTCAAACAAAGTTCGTTTCCCCAAATGCACTGCACAGGATTTATACGAAAATATTCATTCTGGGAAAACATGCTTGTTCACGATACAGTCTATTTTAAGAACTGCCACAACATTGCTTGTTACACGGGAAAAAAATTCTATCTACGATACACCATGAATAATATTCATGATATCAAGAGCAATTATTGCGTAACGCAGCCAATATTCCCTAAATCATGAATCATCCGGGTTGAAATCATAAGCTCAATTTGTAGCTTTTAACAAAAAAAATATAAAAAGAAATCAAAATGCACTAGACTGGACTCGAACCAAGAACCTTGAGATCTTTTAAACCCATACTTTGACCACTAGACTATCAGTACTTGTACAAGATGGACGGAAAATGGCGTATAAGAGATACCTATGTAGTGCGGCTTATGAACTCGGTTTGCAAAATACGTGTAACGCTTATAACGGTCTTGATTCCAATGCATTATGAAATCATAAATTTCCATCACGAAATCATGAATCATTGTTATGATTTCATGGGATGGCAAGTTTTTTCATTTCATGATTTTTTATTCATGAAAATGGTGTAACGTTCGTCTCTGTTACTTAAGAAAACGGCTTAAGCGCCACCTTCTGATTTGAAGGACCGTTATCTCTCTTCTAAACCCGGTATGAGACTACCCTTCTCAGGGCAGGTCGAATAGTAATTCCAGAACCGAAAACAACAAATTGACCCAAACGAAATGAGCAAATGAACTGGATTATTGCGGAACATACATTGAAGAAAACTAAGAAAAAAAAAACTAAAGTCAACCAGAACTGAGCGGCAGAAAAGGTTTAAGCTAGAAGGAACAAACAAACTAAATTAAATCAATCAATTAACGACCCCGAATAGGTGAAATCGTTGGTAACTAAACTCGAATTAAAAATATAATATTTCAATGATACGCATAAATTAATTAATAACTAAATCGAATTTATAGAGTTGCACATAGGGCCTATATTTAGGAAAATTGCAAGCATAAAAACTTTATTGTAAATATTCAGTTCACCTTTTTGTACACCCTAGCTTGATCTGGTGACGTCACGCATTTAGTTAACTCAAAAGGGTTCTTCTTTTATTTAATTGTTCACAATAGGGAAGATCTGACCTTGGCGATCGGCGAGGTGCTCCAACGACGATCTACTACCTCAAGCGTTCCCTCGGCGTCTCGAATGTTCTTCGACGAAATCGTTCGTTGTGTTGGCCTTCGTGCGTATCCGTTGGCTCGCGCGTGAACGGCGATACACGGGGTATGCGTCCCCGGAAGATTGGTGGAGTGAGAGTGAGTTGGCTTTGCTCTCTGCCTCACGCCTTGGCGTTACGAGCCGTCGCGAATGGCGTCTTGACTACCACCCGAAAACTGATCGACACAATCGATCGAAGGACGTACGCGCACACGGGCACAAGTTCGAGTCTTCGCTACTTGACTCAGGGAGTTTTCCAACCCCACAATCACACGTGCTAGACTTCGTAGCCGGAACAACCTTCGGCTAATGCAGTCCAAAAAACCGAATCCAGGCCTGACAACAACAATCCAATCTGGACGAACCAATCCAGTCCAGACTAGCAGCCCACGTTGGATGGGCTTAATGACGCCTGAATATTCAAAATACACTCAATTCACTTTATGTTAAATTCAATTTTTGTATAAACTATCCGAACTTTCGAATTTAGTTTTAAGTTATAACTACTATCACTTTCAAAAAAATTTAAGGATCACTTCCAAACTTGATCTTTACTTGATAACTGACTCCACCAGAATAAATCGAGCGACGCGCAAATAGCTTGGTTGAACCTTTTTGCTACGACGCAATTTCCACCTTATAATGTACGTTTTCTATAGAGATTATTTTTTTATTGGTCAGCTGTGGCGGACTAATTTGGAACAATACTTTCCACTGACTCGGCTTTCCACACAAAAGAGCAGGTAGAAAGTAATTTGTGGAAATTTCCGCAACTTACCGAAGGTTTAATTTATTTTTGAATCCAGTTAATTCGCCTTAAATTATACATGTTCGCGCAAGTTTTTATTTATTCCGATAGGTGGCTATAAAAGTACAATAGAAAGCTTACAATTGGTATAACTAAAAAGGGATATTTTTAGACTAGGAAAATATTCTCTTTACAATGGAAGCGGATTTGTTTCCGTTTAGAAGCATATACAGAGGATGTAGGGTATCCTCACTTACATGTGTTGTACATGTCATTTGTTTTGCGTGAACAAAATTATTTGCAACTGTTTGTTCTCGATCCGGTATAATTAGGAAATTTTAAGAATTTGTATGGTATGTCTTTATGTAATTACCTGAAAAAAAAAACAATCCAATACAAAGAACCGGTTCTCTCAAAAATCGCTTTTTAGTGGTTACCTCCCAAATAGCAAGGTATCAAAAGAAGTTTGTTTACTTTAACGGTACTAAGGAACACTGAAAGGAAAAAAAAACGCTTGCGTAATTAGAAAAATATTTTCAGTAGGGAATTTTTAGTAATCTCGTCAATCTAAGCAGCATCCTCACTTCTATTAGCAATTTCTCAGCGTCATGCACACATATGACGGCTCTGTTTGTTTACATTTATCTGCTGCTTTCTATTCTTACCATTCCAATCAACATAATTATCCAAAACGGACCAAAAACGTGTTTATGACGCTCCAAACTTTTCAGTTGAGTGTGAATATTGTTGGCAGCCTCTTTTTCTTCGGCAATATTTCCACTTCAACTGCGTGTTAACCAACTGTTTTACTATCGACAACTTGAAATCAGCCGTATTTCGTAATGCATATGTTTTCTGTCAATTAAATCTTGGCAAAACAGATTTGCTCAGTCGTAAACATGTAATCAGATTGAAGTTGAAAGACTAAGGAATCATTCAAATACTATCAGCGAAGTGTTTTGGTTAAAAAATACAGTAGCGTGTACATGTTGATTGCGGAAAACAGTCAATGGGTGCCGAAGCCATCATATAATTTTGAAAAATCTTCATCGATCATTCTCACCTGGCTGAAAGGTGAAACTACATAAGTAAACTCAATGAAAGTAGATAAAAAATACCATGCCTGAATGAACTAACATTCAGAGGTCATTCAAATGGATGACGAGCTCTCACAATGTGAAAAAAGCGAAAGGCTAATAAATTCAAGCATGAAATCTGAGGTTTGAGCTTTTCCGAACACTGACAGTAACTGAGTAGGTAATATTAATTTTTGAACGAAAGTTGTCATCATTTTGTGTCTGACATGAAAATTGTGTGAGCAGAGCTCGATATTTGTTGTTTATATTATATTTAAGTTTAAAAACTGTTTGTTGTCATAGGGTTAAGATCTAATTTTCGTCATACTAAGCACAACCCGTTCTTACCCTCTCTCATACGATCGGGTTGGAACAAATAATGGAATGGTTTTGTAAAGAGTAACAAATTGTTGAGATTTGCTAAAAATCTTACATCGCGTCATTCCTTCAATTCCTTCAAACGAGTTTCAATTCCGTCACAACGAATTGAAACGCTGTTGAATTCACTTCGGCATACGAATGAAGGGAGAAAAAATAATTGGCTAGGAGTGCTTCTTTTGGTTTCGAGAAGAATGGATGTAAATATTCATATGTATTATGCGTTCTTGACCTTGTTTTATAGCTTTTGAACTAAATTATCGTACCAAACGTATAATTGATAAATTTTATGTTTCTGTTCGATGCTCTAATCTAAGAAGAATCCAATAAAAAAAAATCATATTACCTATATTCAGAATCCGATTTGAATCATTAATTGTCTCGGAGTGTTTTTTTTTCAATGAGTTTATTTGTCAGGTACAAATGGTCTCAGAGTGATGTTTCAATGCTAAATTTTGATATGAATATCTGAGCTGTGACAAAATGTAATTCATAGCTTCTTGTCACTGTGGCGTGACAAGTTTAATTCGAGCACAGAAACGCTTTGTTACTTCAGCTAAATGAACCGTAACGATTGCTTGGCAAACAGCAAACAGGCAACTGCATTTGCCAAATAGTAACATTCTCCCCTTCGGATCTCTCATTTCAGGCAGACGGTTTGAACCAACAATGCACGAGGCTAGCAATTACAAGGTGGTGATGAAGCTAACGATAAAGGAAATCGACATCGGCGACTTTGGCACATACAAATGTGTGGTCAAGAACTCCCTAGGCGAAACGGATGGATCAATCAAAGTGTATCGTAAGTACATAGAGAACTTCCACTTACTGGTTTCATGTTGCCACTGTTGCATTGCTCTGGTTGTCTTGTGGCAGAAATTCAATTCTACCTTTCAAAATAAGCTGCAATTTTAACATTTCAGTATTCTGCTGCTAGAAATAATCATACAAATCTCATTCTCTCTCAGTGCAAGTCACTACCTCGGGACATGACTTTTGCTGTTCTATAACAGGTCTGCTTGCTTTCGAAATTGTTTAATATCAAATAAAATCAGACACACAACTCGAGTAATTTATTCTCAGTTGGTGATCGAAATCGAGGGAACCAGCAAAGGGCAAAATAGCTCCCTAGAATGTTTTCCATACAAGCCCTTCGTAGACCCCTCACGACACAGAAAACTATGTACTCAAGCTTTGCGGCACTGGTTCTAGGTAGTACTTGCATCACATTGTATTCGAAATATGCTCTGAACCTCGGTTATGCGTGAGATGCTATAAAGAGGGAATACAAGGAGAAAATATCATAGAGCTGTTTCCATTGCTGCTGCAGATGCCGCTGTTTGTACAAAAGTATACAAAACAAGGCAGGAAGGAAGCGTTTCTCTGTTCCCCAACAACGGGAGCAATCTACTAGCAGAAGCTTTCATTCGTATGACTCTATTTCCATGCACATTTATATTTGTGCTTGTTTCATTCATATTTATACCTCCCTGGGATGAAACTTGATTTGTAAAGTATAATAGAGCTCGTGTCCTGTAAACACAGTCCATTTAATACTGCGAATATGCTATCTCCAGCTTATTCGATGTGTCGACACGCTTTATACTTAAGTTTATGAGATTATATGAATTTTAAGTGTTTGTACATCATGAAGAAATGAACTTCAATATTTTTACAATACAGTCAGATTGGACCAGTATGCTCGGGTTACTCGCTATCTGTAGGTGGAAAAAGGTATGTTTGTTTTATTTTTGATGCAATGAAACGTGTTAAGGGCTGTTCATAAACTACGTAGACAGTTTTTTTTGGGATTCTTAATCCCCCCTCCCCCTGCGTAGACAATTGTCCATACAAAAATTTTAAAATTTGTATCACTGGGCCGTGGATAATTGTCAACCCTCCCCCCCCCCTTCCCTACGTAGTATATGAACAGCCCCTTAATTGCAGTTATGAACAAAATTCAATTACTGATACAATAAGGGTCTGATTTTAGCAATATGTAAGTTTTAAATTTAAAGCTTTCCACAAGTAATTGCTTAATAATTGCAAGCTTGGTTATCTGATCACGCCCAAAGCTTCACAATTATCCATAAAATCTTAGAAAAGTATTCATTATGGACATTTGAAATTATATTCTAATTCACTTATTCATGTATCCTGCACGCCTAATGATGCATAGGACCAACGTGAATGTTTTGCATCCTGGGCGGCTACTCGCTTTTGCCATAACCCGGACCATTTATTTCCATAAGCCCCTGGGTCTGCCTCTGCTGCAATGTCCAGCCGGGTTCCAATTCAGCGCTTGCCCATCGTAGTGTGTGGCCAACCAACCTCCACTTACAATCTCGGATTTGTATTGATATTGGTATCAGTACATTACATCGACGATGGAGCTCAATATTCTAGATCCAGTTTTGAGGCCACCATGCACGAATTATATACCGCAGCCATAGGTTGATAACGACCTGTCGCTTTTGAGTGTTCTCCGCCGATACACACCTCGTATCGCTGGCGTATTGACAACACAGGTTTCACGTTTGAATAGAAAATTCGCATTTTGGTGCGTTGATTTATCTGATCAGATTTCCAAACATTTCTTAAACTCACAGAGCAGATTTAGCCTTCTTGCTTCGTGCACCTAAATTGTCACTCTTGGTCCCATCGCTATCTGACGCTATCTTGCTACCAACACATTGGAAACTTCCATCTTTGTTCACTGTTTGGACCGCTACTGTTAAAATGGCATGATTGTCCGTGTTAACATCCAACGATTTGGTCTTGTTGACGTTGATGGTGAGACCCACCGCAGTGGAGTGTTCAGCTAGGTCAATAATCTTAGAACGCTGTTGTGCTAAGAAAGCAACATCAGCCAAAAATTGAAATCATTGAGATACTCCATAGTGATAGGCTGCCAAATCAGCCCACGGTCCGGTACACGATCAATTGCACCTAGTGAGCTCATCGTTTTTGTATACTAATCAGTGAATCCAAACACAGAAAGCAACCAGTAATAAAGACAATACGCTTGCGTCTACTACCACAATAAACTTAATATAGCATGATCGATTGAGAGGGTAGATAGAAAACGATTTATTGTTTGCAATCTTTGTTGCAATAAACACGGTTGACGACAAAGCTTGATCAGAGCGCTAATATTATATCTTCAGGGAATCAAGAAAATCTTCCAATGCTTACCGACGATAAAAACACTAGTAAACGGACTCATGATCAGTGTACATCTCAGATCATAGATTTAAGTTACACATAAAGCATAATCAACTGATATGATAACAATCACTGTGTCTCGAAATCTAGGAACTTGCTTCGGCAAAGTTGTTCTGGAGGTCAAATACCCTACAATATGGATATTTTTTAAACCGGGATTATATGTAGATGTAGATGTTGAAACTGATATGATGTGTATAGACCAAAAATAGATGTCCGCCGCTATTTTGGAATACAAGATGGTGGCCATTGGATTCATAAAAACTGTCAAATACTCTACAATTCAGATATTTTTGGAACCGTGATGACGTGTAGAAGTCGAAAATCTCCGTCGTCTTCTACACTGAAAATATTATTTCGTTATTTCTGTTAAGTTCGTTTAGTAGATCCAGCTTTCGTACATAAACACATATTTCTTAAATTGTACTAAACATTGGTATTAAAGGGTGATACGGTCAAAATTTGGTCAAGGGAAAACGCGTGTAAATCGGTGAAATCGTTTATTTAAAAAATCAAATTAAATTTCTTTTTCAAGTTCAATTAGTATAAAATTCAGGAAAAATATTCAGTTAGGCTTCCGCTTTTCCAAATCCGAATTGCCGGGCCTTACGCTTGACCCCTGCCATCAGATTTTGTACAGCCACCTTGTCCACCTTCTTCGCCGCAGAAAGCCAGTTTGCCTTGAACTGCTGCTCGCCCTTAGCAGTTTTTTTGGTCTTCTTTAGGTTCCGCTTGACAATAGCCCAGTATTTCTCAATTGAGCGGAGCTCTGGCGTGTTGGGAGGGTTCTTGTCCTTGGGAACCACCTGCACGTTGTTGGCGGCGTACCACTCCATGGCCTTTTTACCGTAATGGCAAGATGCCAAATCCGGCCAAAACAGTACGGAACAACCGTGTTTCTTCAGGAAAGGCAGCAGACGTTTATTCAAACACTCTTTCACGTAAATTTCTTGGTTGACAGTCCCGGAAGCTATGAAAATGCTGCTTTTCAAGCCACAGGTACAGATGGCTTGCCAAACCAGATATTTCTTTGCGAACTTTGACAGTTTCATGTGCTTGAAAACATCTGCTACCTTTCCCCTTCCTTTTGCCGTATAAAACTCCTGTCCCGGAAGCTGCTTGTAGTCGGCTTTGACGTAGGTTTCGTCGTCCATTACCACGCAGTCAAACTTCGTCAGCATCGTCGTGTACAGCCTCCGGGATCGCGCTTTGGCCGTCGTATTTTGTTTATCATCGCGATTTGGAGTCACTACCTTCTTGTAAGTCGATAGTCCGGCTCGTTTTTTGGCTCGATGCACGGTTGTAGACGATACACCCAGCTTATTTGCGGCATCTCGGAGAGAGAGTTAGGGTTTCGCTTGAAACTACCGGCAACTCTCTTTGTCGTCTCAGCGGCTTCCGGTTTTCGATTTCCCCCCGATCCAGACTTCCTGGCTGTCGACAAACGTTTCCCAAACACTTTAATTACATTTGTAACGGTTGATTTGGCAACTTTTAGCGATTTTGCCAACTTTGCGTGCGAGTAGCTCGGATTTTCGCGATGCGCGAGCAAAATTTTGATATGTTGCTCTTCTTGCTTGGACGGCATTTTGACAACTGAAGAGTGAATTCCAAAATCAAAATAGGAGCAACATTCTACACACACACACCTTCAAAATGAGGGGTGTTCAGGTTTTTTAAATGCAAAATTGAAAGAAATACGTCAAGTTGATATTGACCAAATTTTGACCGTATCACCCTTTACCTGTCAACTGCCACATTGCTAATATAACACCCTATTTTTTTTGTAAAAAAAAGTTGGTTTTATTTGTCAGTTTGTTTTATAACAGTAATTATAATTTGTTTTTGTTTTTTTATAAATCGAGGTGAGTTTCAGTGCGTCTACATTAATTCTTTCATTACATTCACAAACAAAGCAGTTGTATTTAATAAAAACACTACCCGAGCAAAGTCGGATATCAAAATAATATCAAAATGGTTTAAAATTATGTTTTTTAAATCATATTGCTCACATATTTTGATACACTATTTTTAAATTTCTAGTTTCTATTTTGATACTTTTTGATATTTCTAAAAAATATAATTAAAAACAAAATTTGATATACTTTTTAAAAAAGCTTCCACATTTATCACTGAAATCTACATTTAGTTATTTTTTTTTTCTTGCGAGTCAATCAGCATGCTTACTATTTTCTTAATGAACATCACAAAAACAATTCAATCTGAACATTGCATTAGGTCCTAAGTAACATTGATCGATTCTCTTCGTCGACATTCTCTTTCGTTAATAACTTGAGTAAAAAACCGTTTCTTGTTGTGTTTGTCTATTACGTGCTAGATAAAAGCTTCTTTTACAGATCCGTGTGCTGAAAATACCTGGGAATGTCTTTACATGGCCGTGGAGATACAAAGAGAAAGTCGACGAAGATAATCTGCCAATGTTACTTAGGACCTAATGCAATGCTCAGCTTGAATTATGATTTGTAAAGTTATATTTTACAACATTTATTGATCTCTACCTGTGAATTCAATTTACTTATCGATATAAGATAGATATCGATAGAACTGATTGAAATATAGGTTTGTTTTTATTTTGAATAAATGAAAACTTATTGATAACATTTTTTGATTTTGAATCTTGATATCAACCAATAGATTTCAAAACATTCAGATTACTAAATTTGATATCATGATATCAAAATAACAACTTTTCTAGTTTTTGTTTTGTTTTCCTACCATAGTTATAATAACATATTGATTACTTATTTTGTTTTAAATTAACGAAATTACTGATATCAAAACGCATACATGGATTTGTTATCAAGAAAACATGATTTGTTATCTTTTTGTTATCCTTCATATACCATTAAGATCTCATTTTTGTTATGATTACTGTTAACTCGACCACACGGTAGGCAAAATATGTTATCACGAACGCTTATATCAAAATATCAACATTAGTTTTCATTTTGTTTTCATTCTCTGCTCGGGTAAGCACTTCCACGCGCCTTCTTCAGTCTACTCCTGCTAGGGCAGGTCTCACTAAGTCTTCAAAAGAGAGCCGTCTCCATCCATTCATGATTGCTGTTGAACCGTCCAAGCCGGGCCGACACGAGCACAAGCACAACATTTATCCAGAAGAGTTTCAGTAGTGTGATTGCCACAATGTGTGCAGTTTTCGTCCGGTACTCTTTGCATCACGAACAGTAGTTTTCGGTGCTCGATTTTCCCATTCACGAGCAGGTAGAGTTTCGATCGCTGCGTGAAGATAGCTGCTTTACTACAATGTTATGCCACGTGCGTAGCAGTAGAATTAAAAGCAAAAAAAACGTAACAAGGATAGCGGCTCCGGTGGTGTAGTGGTAAGCGTGATTGCCTCTCACCCCAGCAGGTCTGGGTTCAATCCCAGTCGGCGCTGCCGGGATGTTCTGAGACATAACATATCTGATCACGCCTTCCTTTGCGGAAGGGAAGTCCCCGGTTCATGAGTTGATGGATGGGTCGATATGTAGGGTCCAGGTGTGAGAGCTGCCTCCCTGGCGCCGGTAGCATTGGTGCTCGGCACGGAAAACAAGATCGACGGAAAACAAAGCAAGGAAAAAAAACGTAATAAGGGACATAGAGATAGAATAATTTGCTTTCTCTCTATACTCTTCACCCATGTCCGACACGAAATCACTGCTGTCAGTAATGATGGGTGTTTTGGGTCGCGTTCGGGTGTAAAGCAATAATCTTGAAACACAAACTCACCACAGTTTGGTTATAATCTTAGTATCGTAGCTTGTAAGTAAGCTAGGTTAGCAACGATGTCACAGCTTGTATACTTGTTGGGCTTGTATGCTTGTTATGCTTGTCCGCTGTTGTATGCTTGTTGATATTTGTCCACGAAAATCAAGCGTGAACATGAGAGAGATTGAAATTTCATTTTTTGATATTTTCTCACGACTGATACACACTGAATGTTTCAGGATGATATTTTCGAGGTATTCCTTTCGTGGGATGCTTTTATACAGCGTTACAGATAACGATTTTTCCGTTTTTACTTAATTTATTGAAAGGACTTTTTTACATTATTCAATATTACCAACAATATACGAAACTAACGATTTTAAATTGGCTCACTACTTGACTAGCCTAGCCAAGCAAATCGATTAACGTATCCCATTCTAGTCGAAATTCTAGTACTACACTATGTTTGTTTTGATTCGCTGTGAAAGTTTGACAGATAAAATGAGGGGTTATTGGATTTTCCTATGTTTCGAGGGGTGAATCGATTAGCTTGGGACCGAAGAGAGTACCAGAGCTGAGCTAAACGTTGAGCACGTTTCTTCGGGACCTACTAGTCTTAGAGTTACCTCTGTGATATTACCGATGACATGAACTGACAGGGTATTTTTGAACAAAATTGTATCTGAATTAAACCTGTTTAATTGTTACGGTTGAACATATAATCGGAATAATTTTCTTTAGCAAAACAAAATATGATAAGTTAAGCAAAATAATACAAATACGTACTAAAGTAATAAATGATTACGAGGGTCCCCTCCCTAACCATAGAGCCCGGGGAAATTGCCCCCTTTGCCCTCTCTCAAATCTAGCCATGATAACATCACAGAAAACTAGAAATGTAGTTGAAAAGCCGCAGTGAAGAGTTCTAAAATGGGTCTATTACCTAATGATACCATTAATTGACAAGTGGTCCACAATAGGGTCTATCATGTACAATTATAAAGCTTCTTCTCAGAGCAATATGGTGAAACAATTTGCATCAGCCAAGTTTTCACCTTCAGCATAATGGCAAGGATATTTTCATCGCTAATGTGATAATTTTCGAAAAATGTACATCCTTTCGTTTGAAAAATATTTCTAGTCATCTTAAAGTTCAACCAATTTCCAAAACTGGTGAAAAATTCGCGTCAACGCTTCTATTAGCATTTTCTCAGCGTCACGCGTATGAGTGACGTGTTTATTTGTTTACATTTATCTGCGCTTACTTCTCTGTCCATTCCAATAGACAGAACTGTCCAAAACTGTTTGAATACGATTTTACCTCGCTCCAAACTTCTCAGGTGATTGTGACTGTTGCCAGCAGCCTCTTTCAATTTGAATTGCGTGTTAACCAGCTGTTCCATTATCGGCAACTCGAAATCATTCGCATTTTGTTGCACATAAAATTAACGCTAGATTTGGTATAAATTTACGCGATATTTCGTGTAAATCTAAGCGCAATATCGCATAAATTAGCAATATTGTATGCAAGCTTGCAAACGATTTGGCTGTTTATGCCAAGTATAGCTCAAAATTAAACGAAAGGAGATTTTACGCGATAGTTAATGTTCAGAATTTTTTTCTGTGTAGCATAACAAATTGCACAGTTGTAAAAATGTAATCAGAATGTAGCTGAAAGAGTAAGGAGCCGTTTGCATATATTCAGTTAAGTGTTTTGATGAGAAAATGCAGTGAAATTAACATTTACATTTTGATTTACTAAATCAGTCAATGGGTTCAGAAGCCGACGTTTACCTTAAATTAAAACGGTACTCAATTTTGCATCATTAATATTCTTCTTTTTTTGTTCATCATACATTTCAGATATCCCGTCAACCACGACTACACCAACGAGTCCTTCGACGACTACAACGTTGCCAACTACAATGGACATTCCATACCGAAAAAATTGTAAGTATCAAAATAGCCAAAATTTTAATCACAGCCCTAGTAACAATTTCGGTTTTTGAGGGTTCTCTAGACCATGATTTAGACTTGTGGAACGCTTTAAAACCTCAATAAAGCTTCCAATGTTACTTGCGAGTAGCAATTCTATGCACGCTGGAAAGAAAAATAGCATGTTACCAGTTTTACAGTATGTAGATTTTTCCTAATTTTTGATTTCTCTACAAATATTGCTTCTATATATGAAAAAATTTCTACATTCTGTTCTTTGTAGTTAATAGCGATTTTACGTAGAAGTAATATTGCGAACAAAATGTATAATTATTGATAGGTTAGGCAAATTTCGCCTAAAAACACCCTAGGTGTGAGGGTTGTCAGAAGCAGTATGAAGCACCCCATTTATCCTATTCAGACATTTTTACGAATTTCTTTAATTTCCACCAAGAATCATAAAAAAAACGACTTACTTTTCATTGTAATAGAAACACCTCGTATATGCACGTTATGTGTATGGGGAAACTTTATAACAAAAAAAAGCATCGCTATATCTGTCACCACTTAAAAATATAGTTTTTTATCATTCACTTGACACCATTTTGAAAATAATCCACCGAGAGATCCCAAACAACTTTTTTTTTTTAACTATTTATAGACACATAATGTTAACGTAAGAAACAAACTTGTATGAGTACAAATGTTGTTGCTATCACAAGATCATGCAAAGTGAGGTTTATTTGGAAGCTCAACTTATAAAGTACACACTACGAAAAAGCCAAGGTAATGTCGGTGCCCTGACATCAGTTAAAAGTAACGAGAAAATCAATTCAACCGAACGCACTTTTCGTCTTGTTGCGATTGCAGTTTAGGAACAGCTAATTTTACCGGACATGTTTGTTTTTGTTCCATGATTCACACCTCGTGAAAAGATAGTTAATTCTTAGTAAAAAAATAAAAGGTGCTTTTTTTTTCCTTAATTTGTTTTCCGTCGATCTTGTTTTCCGTGCTGAGCACCAATGCTACCGACACCAGGGAGGCAGCTCCCACACCTATCGACTCAACAACTCGTGAACCGGGGATCCCTACGTGATCAGAGATGATATGCCTCAGAACATCCCGGCGACGCCGACTGGGATTGAACCCAGGCCTGCTGGGTTTACATTACGAAAATTGTTAGTTGGGTTGTGGCTGTTGGTTGCATTGCGGTCGCAACGGAAGATCTAATAATGATCAGAGAATAACTGACTAGATAAGGTGCGTCCATCGAGCCACGTCTCTGTCAATACATCAACGTGATAATAGAGGTCCGAGCTGGCTAGCAGGAATTCTTTGACACTAGAATTCATACCACCGACATTTTGGTAGAAAATCAAAATGTTAATGGTGCTAGTAGCCGAGTATGAATCATCAACATAGCCACTGCAATGTGAACTCACGTCAGGAAGAGAAACTTCTGTATTCGCGCTGTACTTGCCTGATAAAGCAGGCTGGGCTACTTCCGACCACAGGACTGGGACGACTGTGAGCGCAAGCAGCAAATGGCAGGACCGGGTCAGAGAGATTATGAGCTTCCCTAGTATCTTTCACGATGCGTCCCGGGTCATTAAACAATTTTCGGGTACAGTTGAGTTATCAATTCAGAATCGATGTTAATCGTGAAACTGATTGGCTGAGATTGTGAGAAGAATTGTCACGCAGAGTATGTCCAATATTACAAATATACTAGCCTGGAAAAGCTGTCACTGAGTTGAATGATGTCTGCAAGCGGAACTGGGTTGAGGAGGTCAGGGACTCCCAAAGAGCTTTCTACGGTGCGTCTCGGATGTGAATAAGCCAGGAAAGCGTTCGTTCTATGCATAACAGCCTTAGCTACGGGTAAGGCGGCAACATTAGACCCGACTGTCATAGTGCGATCCCGATGAAAGAACGTTTTGGCTGAACGACGAGAATGTGTATTTGTTATATTGTAGCTTTCGTGAAGAACCATCGATGAAGAAGTAGCTTGAAGAAACTATCACTTTGAACAAGAGTTCCCGGTTGGAAGATGTCATAGTACATTCCAGCATTTGTCTCGGTTGTTCCATGATAATAGAATTATTATTGTCGGCATCAAGATCTGGACATGTTAAACCACGCACTGGACTAGCACTGGAAATCAAGAATCCATTAGGAGCAGAATTACTATGATAACACACATACTTGCCAAAAATTACAATTCAAGCTGAACATTGCATTAGGTCCTAAGTAACATTGATCGATTCTCTTCGTTGACCTCCTCTTTCGTTAATAACTTGAGCACATAACTGTTTCTTGTTGTGTTTGTCGTATTACGTTCTAGATAAAAGCTTCTTTTATCGATCTGTGTGCTGAAAAAACCTGGGAATGTCTTTACATTGCCATGGGGATACAAAGAGAAAGTCGACGAACAATCGCCGGCTACCTCGCATAACTGGTTCCAAAGGACAGCAAAGCCGTAAGCGACGATGGTTTGTTGATATTTGGAACCAAATTCACGTATGGAAAATCAATGAGTGTAAAGGGTGATACGATCAAAATTTGGTCAAGGGAAAACGCGTGTAAATCGGTGAAATCGTTTATTTAAAAAATCAAATTAAATTTCTTTTTCAAGTTCAATTAGTATAAAATTCAGGAAAAATATTCAGTTAGGTTTCCGCTTTTCCAAATCCGAATTGCCGGGCCTTACGCTTGACCCCTGCCATCAGATTTTGTACAGCCACCTTGTCCACCTTCATCGCCGCAGAAAGCCAGTTTGCCTTGAACTGCTGCTCGCCCTTAGCAGTTTTTTTGGTCTTCTTTAGGTTCCGCTTGACAATAGCCCAGTATTTCTCAATTGGGCGGAGCTCTGGCGTGTTGGGAGGGTTCTTGTCCTTGGGAACCACCTGCACGTTGTTGGCGGCGTACTACTCCATGGCCTTTTTACCGTAATGGCAAGATTCCAAATCCGGCCAAAACAGTACGGAACAACCGTGTTTCTTCAGGAAAGGCAGCAGACGTTTATTCAAACACTCTTTCACGTAAATTTCTTGGTTGACAGTCCCGGAAGCTATGAAAATGCTGCTTTTCAAGCCACAGGTACAGATGGCTTGCCAAACCAGATATTTCTTTGCGAACTTTGACAGTTTCATGTGCTTGAAAACATCTGCTACCTTTCCCCTTCCTTTTGCCGTATAAAACTCCTGTCCCGGAAGCTGCTTGTAGTCGGCTTTGACGTAGGTTTCGTCGTCCATTACCACGCAGTCAAACTTCGTCAGCATCGTCGTGTACAGCCTCCGGGATCGCGCTTTGGCCGTCGTATTTTGTTAATCATCGCGATTTGGAGTCACTACCTTCTTGTAAGTCGATAATCCGGCTCGTTTTTTGGCTCGATGCACGGTTGTAGACGATACACCCAGCATGCGGCATCTCGGAGAGAGAGGTTAGGGTTTCGCTTGAAACTACCGGCAACTCTCTTTGTCGTCTCAGCGGCTTCCGGTTTTCGATTTCCCCCCGATCCAGACTTCCTGGCTGTCGACAAACGTTCCCCAAACACTTTAATTACATTTGTAACGGTTGATTTGGCAACTTTTAGCGATTTTGCCAACTTTGCGTGCGAGTAGCTCGGATTTTCGCGATGCGCGAGCAAAATTTTGATACGCTGCTCTTCTTGCTTGGACGGCATTTTGACAACTGAAGAGTGAATTCCAAAATCAAAATAGGAGCAACATTCTACACACACACACCTTCAAAATGAGGGGTGTTCAGGTTTTTTAAATGCAAAATTGAAAGAAATACGTCAAGTTGATATTGACCAAATTTTGACCGTATTTTAAACAGGTGAGGCACAGTAGATTTATCGTCGCTTTCTTTCTCCGACTGATTAAATGGATGACAGAGTTTGACTTCACACTCCTTCAACCGTTTAAACAGCGGGATAACGAAAGAGATGGTAAACTCAATGAGCCTTACTCATTTAGATCTCATTGATGGATTTTCAGTAGGCCGATTTGACTGCACATCCCGCCCCTGTTTGTTCGTTTTTCGCTTCAGATCAGACCATCCAACCAACACGGGGAAAAATCCGATCTCCGAAATGAGAAAAATGACTCATGATTTCATGAACACAGCGTATTTTCGTGTTATGAAAATACACCATGAATAATATTCATGAAATCATGAGCAACTTTTGCGTAACGCAGCAAACATTCCCAAAATCATGAATCATCCTAGTTGAAATCATGAGCTTAATTCATAGGTTTAACTTTTAACCAAAAAATGTAAAAAGAATAAAATAAAGCTTCAGACTGGATTCGAACCAAGAACCCTGAGATCATTGAACCCATACTTTGACCACTAACCTTTCAGTACTTGTATAAGAAGGAAGGCAAAAGGCATATAAGAGCTACCTATGTAGTGCGGTTTAAGAACACGGTTTGCCAAGTACGTGTAACGCTTGTAGCGGTCTTGATTCCTCTGCATTATGAAATCATGAATTTCCATCCCGAAATCATGAATCATTGTTACGATTTCATGGGATGGCAAGTTTTTTCATTTCATGATTTTTTATTCATGAAAATGGAATCGGATTTGTTTCCGTGAATAGAGCGGAGGTGGAGGGAATGTACACTGTCATTTTCTTTATCCTACGGATTCGATTGTGATAGTGTGCATTCTACTCCAACATTTGCAATGAAATTGACGTGCCCTTCTCAAAAAAAACTATCCCGTGGAAAGCTTAACTAGTATTGCGAATTTCGTTATTCGTTTTGTTGGAAGGAGATTCTCTTAAGTGTCTCTGCTTATGGGTCCGCTCAACCCAGTTTGGCCCTTCATACAGCAATATGTTGAATTCGGAACGATAACAAAATTTGATCTTTCTATTAAGTGGAGCCGCATGCAGGGCAAGACCCAAGCTAGGTTGGCGGCTACTTACATACATACAAGTCATGACTCATTTTTGTAACTTTCAAATTGTGGAGGGTGTGCATACAACCATATCTTTTTTTTTTATC